AGATATAGATCTTTCCCTCATTTATTTTTCCAGCTACTGTTTCTGAGGATCAGGATTTGCATTTATCTGTTATTTTAGCTAAATGTCATCAGTGTAGAAATTATACTTGTCTTGTTCTTTTTAACAGTGTAATGGTTGAATCACCAAGAACACTCTTTCCTGAGGAAATCAGGTCTCTTCTTTTCATAATCTTGTTGCTTACAAATTAGATTGCATTGGCATAGCTGACATTAGACAGGGAGGGCTTTGGCCTTGGGCTGCCAACAGATGAGAGCTACCTGAAATCACTTATCCCTACACACTGTCGTATCTATTCCCTGCTGGGATAAAAGGAGCACAGGCCAGAGAGCACTGCTCACACTTGAACTCATTTTTACGTATGGCACCTGAGCTGCACAACCCATGTTTATATTTAATTAGCCATGTCCTCATGATCCTTGGGTCTTATAAGGAAGAATATCAAGGTGAGCGGGTGCAGGCAGCTGCTGCAGTGGATTTGATCCAGGGAGAAAGGAGGTGATGGCAAGTGTCATGTGGAAATAAGAAGTGGATCCCAAGCAGGTGTGGGGAACAGTTGAGGCAGGCAGGTGAGTGCAGAGGTAAAGAGCCATTTAGCAAGGGGGACATTTGTGTTACTTACCCCTGAGCCACTAAGCCAGTGATTCCCAAACTTTTGTCCTCCAGGTGTTTTGGACTTCAGCTCCCAGAGGCCCTAGCCAGCTTGGCCAACAGTCAGGAATTCTGGGAGCTGGAGTCCAAAACACCTGGAGGACCAAAGTCTGGTAATCACCGCACTAAGCTATGCTGTTGCATTAATGTAAAACATGATATGGGGCTGCCCTTGAAGACAGTCCAGATTCTTCAGCTGCAGCTTCAAGTATTCTGACATGAGCTATGTGTCCAGAATATAGTACTCCAGTACCTCATAATATTCCCTGTTTTCAGTTTGTCCAGGCTCCATTCATGGTCTTCACCTTTAGCTTTAAAACCATAAATAGTTTGGGAATACCAATGTTTCAAAAATCTTATCTCTGAATGTGCCTGAGACCTTCGTTTCACAGTCTCCTCCTAACCTGGAAAACCTACCAAAAAGAGCTACAAATTTACAAATCATCCTTTATACTGCATACAGTATATGTTTATGTGTGTGTGCATAACTGTGTTAACTGTTTTTCGTTAGCATAACTTCTCTCACTGGGATGAAAATACACAAAAGGGGATTAGTCAGCCTCATTTTACAAAGAGTGATTGATTAGAATAGTAGCTGTTGTAAATTTTAAAACAAAATAAAGATTTTTTTTAAAGAATAGTAGCTGTATATTTTGCAGTTAGGAAACTGTCCTTGTTGTATAGGACATAATGAACTCTTTGCATTTGAAACAATATGCCATGCAGTTAGTCTACAACAGGACTTGTCAGTTACAGAGATGTTATTGATAAAATAAACATAAATGTGGAAGATACACATTGTGGTAGATACAATGAAAAAAGAGAGCCATATTGTTAATAGTATTTCAACTTCTGCTGCTGCTATTGCTAAATTTACTGACAAGTAATATTATGCCATCAATAGAACATGATGGATACTTGCACTTTTTATAGTTGATGTCTTTGCCTATAGTCATACTGATATTTTTTCTGTTGAACACAAATGCAGATTTAAAACACTGACAGACTTTTTTAATACTCTGCTCCTCAGTGACTTAGTAGAATAAATTTATTACATGCAATATGAGAATGTGGACAGGATTGTTGGAGAAATGAGGACCACTACATGCATACTCGATCCTTGTCCTTCATGGTTTCTGAAAGCTGCTAGAGGGAGACTGGTGGGGGGAGTGGCAAATGCCTCCTTGCAGCAAGGGAGGTTTCTATCCTGCCTAAAGGAGGCTGTGGTTAGACCATTACTGAAAAAGGCCTGCCTGGACCCCACCATTGAGAATAATTATTGGCCAGTCTCTAATATTTTGTTTTTTGACAAGGTTCTGAATTGTGTGGTTGCCTCCCAGCTCCAGGGGCTTCTGGATAAGATGGATTATCTAGATCCATTTCAATCTGGGTTCAGGGCTGATTATGGGATGGGGACAGCTTTGGTTGCCTTGGTGGATGACCTATGCAGGGAACTGGATAGTCTCTCTCTCTCTCTCTCTGTGTGTGTGTCCCTGTTGGCTCTCCTGGACCTCTTATCAGCTTTCAGTACCATTGACCATGACACCCTTCTGGACTGCCTGTCTAGAATGCTGCTTGAGGCACTATTAAGCAGTTGTTCTGGTTTTTGGAGAGGCAAATTTCAGAGGATGGTTCTGGTAGACGCCTGTTCAACTCCCTGGCTGTTGGCCTGTGGGGTCCCACAGGGTTCTGTTTTGTTCCCCATGCTGTTTAACATCTACTTGAAACCATTTGGAGAAGTCATCTAGAGTTTTGGGATGTGGTGTCACCAGCATGCTGATGACACCCAATTCTTCTTATCTTTTCATCTGGTTCCAATGAAGCTGTCTTGGTACTGAACCTACGTCTGGATGAGGGCAAACAAATTGAAACTTAATCCAGACAAGACGGTGGTGTTCTTGGTCAGTCAAAAGGCAGATCAGGGACTAGGGACTTTGCCTGCTGGATGGGGTTATACCCGAAATCTCAGGCTCACAGCTGGTGTGTTCTCTTGGATTCAACTCTGAGCCTGGACAGGATGCCCAGGTTTCAGCAGTGACCAGGAGTGCATTTGTATAGCTACAAGTAGTGTGTCAGCTGTGTCCGTTTCTTGAGACGTCAAATCTGGCTACAGTGACACATGCTGTTTAGACTACTGCAACACACTCTATGTGGGGCTGCCTTTGGAAATTGTTTGGAAACTTCAGAGAGTTCAAAATGCAGCAGTTATAATGCTGATCAGGGACTGTTATAGGGGGCATATAAACCCCTTGTTGGAACAGCTTCACTGGTTACCGATTTATACAGCTTAGGTCCAGAGTATCTGAAGAATTGTATCTCCCCATACAAACCTGCAAGAATTCTCAGATCATCAGGGGAAGGTTTTCTCTGGGTCCCACCACCATCACAGGCTCATTCGGTGAGGACATGAGAGACAGCCTTCTTGGTGGCTGCTCCCACTCCCTGGAACTCCTTTCCATGGTAAGCTAGGCTGCCCTCCTCTTTGCTTTCCTTTTTCCAGCAGGCAAAGATGTTTGTATTTAAGCAGACTTTTAATAGTCAAGCAGGGAAACTTTTTATTTGTAATAATAATCATCATCATCAACAACAACAACAACATTTTATTTGTATCCCGCCCCTTTGCTCGGCAATCGAGGCGTCGTGCAGCAATTTAATAAACAACAGTTAAAACAACTTTATCCCACACCCTAGCCCTCCCACCCCTTAAAACAGAATTAAACTACATTGGAATTAAAATCAACAACATAATTCTAAAATTGTATGTTTTACTTGTTTTTAACTTTTGTATGTATGTATGGCTTTTAAATAATTTTATAGTGTTTAATGTGATTTTGATTGTTTTAAAATTTTTATTGTAAACATTTTTGATTTTCTGCTTTTCGAAGACCTTTGCATCCCACTTTGGGAGAAAGGCAGTATATAAATGAGGTAAATAAATAAATAAATAATATTCAACCTCCATGTTATTTGGATTAGTAATGTTAATCTGAATGCAATTTGGATAAATTATAGTAACCTGTTTTGATATTTATTTGGCCCCAGTGGCCCAGGTTTTTATTTTAGAATACAAACATTGGCCTTTTTAATTTATTGTGTTCAGATCTGCAAATTATATCATTCCTTTCTTGAAATAATCACATTAAAACCAATTTTGAAAATGATTTAAAATTATTTTTGCCCACTCTACATTTGACAGGATTCAGTCTTCCTTAAAATATTTCTTAGCGAAGCATCTATAAGTTTCAGCTTGTTAAATTCGTGTTGTAAAGCTAATGTTATTTCCCAAGCCTTGGGGATGTTCTTACTCTGTAATTAGAGGTTTATGCAGCAGCTACACAGACGTGGTTATTACCAATAGGATGAATAATTGCACCATTTGACTGGCTTGTGGTCAGGTATTGTCTAGTTACCTGGATGTGAAGGAGTTACTGTTAGAAACAAAACATCAAAATATGTAGATATTGCTAAAACACCCTTAAGGCATTGCTCTGAGCAAGTGTGTTTTCAATCTTATAAAGTATGCTTGGTGATGAAACTTAATTGATGGCAAATCCTCTAAGGTTAAAACTTTTTTTTCCTTGGGTACTCTAAGAAGATAATATATGAAAGTGTTACACAATTCATTGTTAATGTTAGTTTCCCACCCTGTCTAGAAATGTTAATTCCTTCACAGAGAATGCAAACAGTGTGCACTGCATTAAAAAGGTATTGCTCACCTCAAAAGAGGTGCTAAAATATATTTCCTTATAGACAGGTGTTATGTACATTCCAACCTTGGCAAGGAGGCCTAAAGCATAGAACATCCAGAAATGACCACCGGAGCTACAAAAACAAACAAACAAACAAACAAACAAACAAAAAAACAAAAACAAAAACAAAAACAAAAACCACCCCTCAAAGTCTTGTTGGTATAAAATGCCACTGAGAGGTGCAGACTTATCCCATCCAGTAGAACAGAGATAGGCTATCTCAGACTAGTTTTGGTGAAGGTGGTCAGTTATATTGAAGAAGGCAACCTTAATTCATGCCCAGGTCAAAAAACAGTGTGGTGTAGTGGTTTGAGCACTAGACTATGATTCTGATGACCAGGGTTCAAACCCTTGTTCAGCCATGGAACCCCATTGGGTGACTCAGGCAGTTTACACTGCCTCTACCTCAGAGGCCAGGAATTCTCAAAGATTATTGACAGTGGTTCTGAGATTACTTTGGTCATTTTTAATACCCTTGGATTTAGTTCATATGGCCATGGAGACATGAACTCCCTTTTCTTTTACTTTTCCTGACCATAGGCTCACCCCCAGTATTTCCCTACATTTATTGAAATCAACTTTCCTAAAGTCTAGAATGACTGCTTGGTTTCTCCTTTTCATTGTGTAACAAACTCTTGGGTGAGTTTGACTTTCAGCAAATAAAAGGATAGTTGAAGTCATCCATCATTACTACATCTCTCCTGAGTGTGTGGTCACCTGTTATAGAAAGGTATCATCCAATTCCTCAGTCTGACTTGGGGTCTGTAGTAAATTCCCGCAATGACATCCCTGTTGTGAAGTCGTAGGCTTTCATGGCCGGCATCCATAGTTTTTTTTGTGGGTTTTTTCGGGCTGTGTGGCCATGTTCTGAAAGAGTTTCTTTCTGACGTTTCGCCAGCATCTGTGGCTAGCATCTTCAGAGAAAACTGAAATGGAAAAGCCTGGTTGTATATATACTGTGAGACCCTGGGTAGGGAGGACCCAGACATCCCTGTTGTTTCTTTCCCCTTTAATTTTTATCAAGATGCTCTCCACCTGGTTTCCAGTCCTGGATCTCTTCACAGGTGTAAACATCCCTGACATATAATGCTTCTACTCCTCCTTTTCTGTTTGACCTATTTCTCTTTAAAAGATTATATGCAGAATTACCACATTCCAATCGTGAGACTCATCAGGTTTAAGTGATGCGTATTCTGTCATATTTGGTTTGCTGTGCAAGGAGTTCAAGTTCATCTTGTTTATTTCCTGTGCTCTGTGCATTAGTG